TGTGACGAATGCAATGTGAAGACGATTAACTCACACAGATGCCACAGTGGCCAATGGCAACATGTCGTCGTTCGAAGATCATCCGCTCATGCTACTGCACTGTGAGGAAACTTGTCATTGGGGGTAGTTCGGCAAGGCCAGTGGCTCCTGTATTGATTGTCATAGTTGCGCTGGCAGTGCGGCTATCACAAGTGTCAAACGATAATATGATGCAATGCCGAAAAATTGCATCAATGTACTTCAAGCATATTGCATGCTGTTTCGAATCACAAATATTTAGAGATTAGTTGGCTGTAAGAAAAAATCGATTTCAGTCTACTTACGCACACTGATGTTGCGAGGTATATTCCCCTTGTGTTTTTCCTTTGGCGTACTCCATTTAACGACAACGTAATCTGCCAAAAACTTGCCGTGTATCGACATGCACACTAGATTCGGCGAAATTTTTGTTGATGTTTGGGGCAAAGGCTTTCGATCATCAAGCTGACTCTGGCAACTACAGTTGCTGTACAATGATACAATACCATTTGTAGCACTTAGAAAATATTTACTTGCATTGAAGTACGAAAGAAAAATTCTGGCAATATATAAACAAGGAACATGCAGAAAATACCGAATTTTTCCTGTGCTCTGTGAAAGAATGAGAACAGATTTAGGCTGACTGGTCAAAGCTGCAAAATGAATCGATGATTTCATATGATGCATTCCACAAATGAATTTCCGCATCATGTATTGTCGTTGGCACTTGGTCGTTTGTGACTAATTCAGATCTGGCTCTCTGCCAGACCAAGCAAACCAAAACATCTAACAGATGCAGGCTGTCTTTACGCGATTGAAACTGGTAGTTTGCGAAATTTGTACATATGTACTTCTGAAAGTGTACTGTGCACATTCAAAAGCGAAAGGCGCATCCTTGTAAATTGGATGGCGCATTTGCTCTGGCAGTTGATAGGACAACCATGGCTCACTCGCTTTACAGACATCAACCATTTCATAAGAGCTCACCGCAGAATAGTACCCTCCACTTCCCGGATGAGGCGGTTGACATCCTCGATCACAACCCCGCCAACCGCCGTTGAGAGCTTTCCGTTGCGCACCCTCTTCACCTTTGCGACGAGCCCACGACCCCGCATCATCACCCCAATCAGTACTTAGAACAGAAGGACCAGGTTCTTGGCGTCCCTCACCGCCTCTGCAAATTCTCTTTGCTCCCGAAACATCACGCCCATCGTATTCGGGTCAGCGCGTGCCTACACGGCACACGAAAGTTCGAATGCATTCCAGCAACTTGCATGATCTCCCACCCAAAGATGCACCCATGCTGCCAAAGCCTTCAGATGCCCGTAATTTGTGGACATTCCAAAACACCAGTAGGTCAGAAGTTGCGCGCAATTGAACAGGCGTCGCTTTTATGTGATCCTAGTGGCAACCACCTCAGAGCAACTCACTCCTCATCTTGCCGACATGTCCAGCAAGCATGTGGTTCGTGTGCACACGACCAGCCATGCAAATTCCAATAAAATCATTCTCATATGAGAATGATCATTTTGCTGTGTACTGTGCATACATGTGAAGACATTAATTCAGTTCATGGCGTGCTGGTGAATGCGTCGGAAACGCATTGTGTGTGTCTGCACGCTTTGAATGGAGCCAATCGATAGCGACATTTGCAAAATGTTGCTGCCCGCACCGAGGCTTGATTCAGGGCTTGATTCGCAAATTTGTGCCTATGCCTCAGCGCTCCCCGATCGAGATTTTATGAAGGAAATGTCAGCATTGGTACAGTTTGGCGGATCCGGAGCGCTTGGATTGCTCTTCACAGGATTGTGGGCCCAGGTTGTTGTCATTGGGTCTGCTCCTGCGCAAGGAGTGGATAACGCCAGTGACGCTCTCCGGCAGCAGGGCCATGCCGAACTGGACTGTTTGAAGGTGTGTGCGATCGCATCACAGGAGCGGGTGGCTACTGCATACGCCTGGGAATGGGCTACCAGTAAAACACCACTAAAGAACATCGAGTGGAGTCCCCTAAGCACAACCGAGTGCATCGTGACTCCTTTGCTAGCCCTCTACCACATATGTCACGGGTCCCATGAATGCATCGCAAAGCCGTCCGAATTCCGGCCAACTTTCGCCGTCTCTTCCATCAATTCCAGCCTTGAGTACGTGAAACTTCATTCAGATGCAAATGTTACAACATTTTCAGAACGCTGAAACTGTTGCAAAACTCATGCAAATGGTGAAATGTACTTCCTCCATTTAAGATTGCTTGTCGTCTGTGAGTTTGGGGTCTGTGAGTTTGGACGACGTCTCCATTGTACCTTTATCAATTTTCAATGAAATTCACTCAATGTTGTGCTTGTAAGTTTGGATGTTACTATCAAAATTTCAATTTAATCCATCAAGTATTGAGGATTTGACAGTACATTGTATCATGGATTTTTTTGCCTAGTAAAATGGATATCTGGGGGCAAAATTAACAGACTTACCTTTTTCCTGATGCTCAAAGGGTCATGTCTCAAGTTTTCTTGTTGAAAATAGGTTGTTGACTGGAATCCAATCTTTCTGATTTTTTCCTTGCTCTGTGGTTTCGAGGGGGTCTTGCACAGAATTTGTTCTTTCAAATAAGCGACGATTAATCTCGGGCAGGTGAAGTACAAATTTACATGCTTTGGGCAAAAGATTGCGGCAGAATCATATCGCTTGCTACTTTTTACTGAAGCTAATTTATGTACGGCGACTGTGAAATATTCCACAACTTTGAGCGACGGCTGTCGGATACTGAGATGGGCTCAGATCATGGATTTCAGAGATACGCAGGAGCTCGCCATTAACTCTACCAAACTCAACCACTTTCCCTATAATGCTTTCACACAGCAATGATGCAATAAACAGGGCACGATAATCAACCACGGTACTTGTAAGTAAATTGATTCGCAAAATCGACCATCTGACGAAGTGCTTGAAGAGTTTTCCATGATTGTAAGCTCTAGATACGTCCCTTCTGCTCAGTTCCGCGGGAGATTACAAATTCCCAAAGGCCTTGTACTCAACCTTGGAAATTGTGACATGGTTTTATTACAAATACGCAACAGTATGCACAGCACGGCAAAATTTTGCATTACGCACAGTTTCAACCAAAATATGTTTTAACCCAAAAATCATCGAAATTCATTCTTAGTTGCGGGACTGATGGCTGCGATGACCTGCTGGGTTCCGCGGATCTGCCGCACCTGGAGAGATGGCCGCTGTCTGTCACCACATGCACCGCTGTGGTCTTCGGATTTCCGCCTCATTAGCCCCATCGTAGCTCCAGCCCCGTGACAATGCCACAGTCTAACTGGTCCCACGATTGCATATCAACTGCAGCTCCCACGTCGCGATGTCCCCTTGAAATGCATACTTCCATGCGTCGACCACCACCACGGTCTCTTCATCCATCCGTGGCGGCTAAAACAGTCATAGCTCCGGCATGTGGCGAGGACCGCAGCCATGCGTGCCCACGGCTCTCCCGCCTATCATTGCCTGCACACTTCGAGGGAGGCTATCCCATATAAGGCCTGGGTCGTGTCACAAAGTACAGGAGTCTTGCACGTAGTTTACGCTATTCAACAGGGGTGCGCACGATTGCACAGAGTGTGATGTGGTAGATGTTTTTCTAGTGATAATGGTTGCCTTGGCGGCCCTCCATGCCACTCAGCGCGATTGGAGCCCGCGGCGTTTCAATTCGCTGAACCCAATCCGCCCGGCCAGCGTCAGCGCCCAATGGGCGTCGCCCATCAGGCCCGGGCTCTGGAGGTGCTTCCAAAAGCAGCCCAGCGCATAGTGAGCGGAGCGACGAGTAGTTCCCGAAACGCATATTGCATAATGCAACCTGCCGCTCAGATCTGTGTGGTAGATTGGCTCTCTCTGTGTGTTGAGCCACGCACTATGTACCGGAGGCGGCTGGTGCCACTGCAGACTGCGGTCCGCAGTGTCCACCTGAGGGTTTTGAAGGCCCACTGGGTCCGCAAGTGCTGAACGACCAGCGCACCACGCACATTCATGGCGGGGCCTGCCATCCGCACGCTGCAATGCACCATGCACGGGCGCATCCTGCGGGCTGACATTGCTTCATCGACATGCATTTGAATGTTGCACGCGCAAGAGCATTATACCGCGCGCATAGGAATTATGCGTCCTTTTAAGTGTATCACGCCCACCGCATGTTGGCCGTCCGTCCAGAGCCGCCTCCAAACTCAGGCCTAGGATACCCGCAACCAGTTAAGGGTGCTAATGACTGAGAACCTGAAGCTGAGGATTTCATCCGGACCGCTGTAGCACGCTCGCCAATTCTTGTCCAAGCAGCCAAAACAAAGGCCGCTGTTGACCACCAGCCTTGTCTTTCCTTTCGCCATCAACTTAACTACCCAACTAGCTGCATCGGAGACTCGCTCAGTTTCGTGTGCCCGATATCAAAGGCCAGGATATTTTTCTTCAAATTTCAGGAGATGTCCCCCACCAGTGCCTAAATTTAACTCGGCAGATGTTCAACAGAGAAACGGTCAATTCTGAGACCTTCAAGAGTGGTTGTGGCACATTTGTTGCAATCAAATCTTGCACACACCCTCACCTTTGGGGTTGGTCTGACGTTGATGTTTCGCACAAATTTGGCAAGTCTTTTTGGCGCATTTTTGCCTCAGAGAGCTTATCACATCACAAAACGGGCCCAATCCCATTACGGAAATCGTCCCAGAATCTGTGAAGCTCTGGGAGGGGACGTTTGCAAGACTGGAGCAACTCATCAATCAGTTTGCAATGATGTGCTGCTTGGGGACATAGCATTTCGTCTTGGTACACTCGGCAAATGCCCAATCCCAGCAGCTTGTCAACCCGGTGGCACGCCACCTTGGCACGCCACTTTGGACAATTCAGACTCAGCAGTTCACATCGCATCATAATCACGAGCAACAAAAACTCCAACAGAAAGAATTCCAAACAGTGCAACAATTCCCAAGGTCGAATCAACTAGATGTCCTCCTCTTATGCCGCCGTCTCTGGCCATGACCCCGATTCCACACCAACCACACCCCATACGCCAGCACACCCACCAGCAACGCCCACGGCGCAGCTCCCCACCGCCCAAGACTCCATTGGGCAGTCTGCTGCGAGCTCCACACCAGTCGGCCCACTGCCACATCCGAACCTGCGCGTGTCGGCAGCCTTGGCCTGCGCCCGCCGGCTCCCTTGCCCCTCCACTGTGGCGGGAGGAGTGCCACGACGTCGTGAGAGTGCTTCTGCACGTTGGTGAAATTCAACAGCTCGCCTTCCGCGATCAGCTCCTTGCAGCCTTCGTCGCTCAGCCACTTGTCAACGCCCTTTGGGAACAAGCCCACAAACCGTTTGTCAGCCACATTCAAAGTTCGCATCTTTGCTCACCGGTTTTAGCCAGGGTGACTAAGTTCGCAACTTTGCGAGTTTCAACAAGTTTCGCACTTTCAAAATATGCAAGCACAGCCCCAAACTGCCCATGCAAGCGCCATCACATGTCGTTACCCATCCCGTCCGTTGAGCAGAGTCCCATTGTACGATTGACCTCGTGATGGCTTGATAATGCCAAAATCACGCAGAGCTGATGCATATTAGCACTTGCACTGTTGACAGCAAGCACCACCTGCAGACGCCATCTGTCCCCAATGTCCTTTGTGGGAAGCAGAGTCTTGAGTTCGACTTCTCTGCTTTTCGCAGTGTAACCAATTCCAATTCAATCTATTCGTCAACCTCTGGATTTCAATAGATTTCCATTTTTAATTGCTCACTTCCGTGTGGCACAAGTACAGTACCAAATCTGGTAAGGTTTCCCCTCATCGCAGTGCAAACAATCTAATGCTTGTTGACAGGGATACTAAGGAGGTCGCCAAGGGCAACCTGGCACCACAGAAACCCAAGCTGCCTGAGCTGAGTCAGAGGCTGTCATCCCACAGAGTCACACACAAAGCAATACTGTGCACATTTTCAAGCCTGGGGTTGTGGAAGTTTCTATATGTTGACGAAGTAGGGAATGGCATGGTGCTGATGAATCCACAATACTGCAAACTGAATAACTAAAGGAGCCTGGCATGGCCTGAGTTGCCATTCTCAAGTTCACTGTCATACACAGAGGGCTGACGACAAGAAATCATGCAGCGCTCCCATGAGTGACAACTAAAGAAAGTTTGTGCACAGGCAGACCTTTGTCAAGCTGTGAATTGCTGCTTTCTATGTGATTAGAAGCACAAGCGGGATTTCATCTTACACCTGTATCGTGGCCAACTCGAATCGTGTCCCGATTCCAGCTTTGTTTAGCAAACTGACTCAGAGGCTCTGCACCACCGGAGCATTTCAAACTCTGAATCGCCAAATTGGTACCTGACTGTCAGTTGGGCAAGGATGACCAGCAACAGAGAAACAACACAATGCGACAACTTTAGTAGTGAGGCTATGAGCAGTAGGTGTACACAAATGTGCTGTCATTGATGCAGAGTCTACACACCTACCAGTTTTCGGCAACGAGCCCGCTCTCGCTCTGTGTTGCTGATTCTTTCTTCAGCCACAGCACTTGGACTACTGTGCTCATTATCTGCCGCATGTTTCACAGCACTGATGTCCTGGTTAACATTCCCTTCATCCTTCTCACTGATAGAAATGTTCCCCAGTGTTGCATCTTCACTCTTCCCTACGTTTCCCTCTGTCGAAAAAGTGTCCGGTTCCTTTGCCTGCACATTTGCTACCACAGTTTGACCAGGTGGGCTGCGCATTGATGCACCAAAGCATCTCCCGCAAGTCTTCCTACAGCTCATTCCCATTTGAAGCCATTCCTTCTCGCACAAGCCATCCCGCAGGTACATTAGACATTTCTCAATCTCCAGCGCATCAACACAGACGCTATCAGGTGCATCCAGAACTGCAAATTCTGCAGCAAGCGCCTTTTGAATCTCCTCCACTGTTCCACATTCCTCCTTCAACTGCTCGGAGGCTGGGCACACCTTCTTGTGCCGTTCACAGAGGCCCTCGTTAATGGTGTTCACAAACTCGACCACCAGCAAGGCACCGTACTGGTCCTGGGGGTTGTCTTTGGGGGCCAGCTCTGAGGGGTGTGGAGGGTGGGGGAACAGGCCGTAGTCCTCCTTTATGTCCCGCTCCATCGACATGTTCCAGGGCGGGCACCTGAAACTGTTAAAGTAGTAGTGATCGTGCTTGTCGAACCCGTAGCCGCCCACCCTATGGGTCAAGCCGTAGTGAATGACCTTGATGGAGTCCCACACCGCGTACGACGGGTACGCCTGCACCCCGGGGTTCAGCTTGTGCCACACGCCCACATGGGCGGCCGCATACGCATACCCGTACATCTCCGATATCCATGGCCTGTCGCCGGGCTCCACATAGGAGTCCCCGGTCAGGTTCCAGGCGTCCGGGTCGAACCGGACGTCCTCCGTGAACTTCAACCAGAATGGCGCCATCCTTCTGAGGTCCGCGTTTCGCACGAGGCAGTAGTGCCCCACCCTGTCCGCCCTGCGCCCCCTGGGTCCCCCGTAGGTGTCGTTCCTGGGCGCCACGTGGCGCACGTGCCTCAAGGCCAGATCGTTGATCACCCCATTCAGGTAGCTGTAATGCGCCCCCGCCGACCACCCGTCGGCAACGCCCAGGGTCTCGGGGGTAAGCGGCGCTCGGAACAGCATATCCGGGTCGACCATGAGGATCCACTCTTCCCTGGGATTGGCCTTGTCCAGCCAGTCCATCACGCCCGTGGGCTTGTTGTAGGGCGGGTAGTCGTCGGGCTTAGTGGGGTGCTTCTCCCACGACGGGGCAATGTGCGTCTGCACCATGTCCCGGTCCTCCCGACGCATCAGCGACAGCTGCTGCCGAGTGCAGCTCGCGATGCGTGTCAGGTTGCCCGGTTGGCCGGCCTTGGCGAAGCTGTGCGCCAGCGCCAGGGTCTGGAAGGCGAAGAACCGCTTGCAGTCGGTGGAGAAGATGGTGTGGATTGCGCCCGTGACGAAATCGCCGTCATCTTGGCCAGCCGCGGGATGAAGTAGCGACGCGGCCAGAAGCAGGAGGAGCAGCAATGGACTATGGAGGTCGGGAGCGCCCACGTGGGCACCAGACATATCCAGGCGTCCACGGGATTGACGGATTGATCGACGCGCAGGGGCGCAAGAGAATGTGTCAAGGTGTCAAGGCACCGACTCGCCTTGTCGGTGAGCGGTCACAGGGTGGGCGAGGACGGCCGACTGGAGGCTCCGGAAGGGGAGCGCACCGAGAGGGGTTCGTGCCGACTTCAGTTAAGCGTACTCGACTGGGCCCTTTCCCGGAATCCGGACGGCAGGTCGGCGCGTGGGGGAAATAATATTACTGCCTGCACCAAATCACGTGCACACATGTCCTAACCTCAGTTTTAGGGTTAGGTTTAGTTTTAGGGTGAGTTTTAGGGTAAGGAATAGGTTTAGGGCAGGTTTGTTTTAGGGTTTAGGGTTTCGGTTAGGTAAGTTTCGGAGGGAGTTGGTGCAAGCAGTCACCGATTTAGTGCAGAAAGTCACCGATTTTGGCGCAGCCAGTAATTGTATGCCCGCCTGGGGTTGGGGGGAGAGGTGACTATTTCCACCGCCACCTTGCCGTCACGCGAATCGCACGGTCCAATTTCCAATTCTCATGCACGAAATCCAAGGCTTGGTGCTCAGCATCAAACGGTACCAAGCGGCCTGGCACAGTGGTGTTGATAACGAGTTCCGACAACAGGGGCAGACTGGCGGCAAGGTGGCACTTTTGTGAGCCAGCCGCACGTGTGGGTGGAGCCCCAGGAGCGCTCCCAGGCACCAAACGAGGTGGCCAGCTCTTCGGCACCAACGCACGCAGCAATTTTGAGTTTTTTACAGCACAGTTACAGTCCTAGCACATCCCCGGCCAGCAAGGCGCCTGGCAAAAAGCCCCATGAGAGCCCATCCACCAACAGTGTCCCACACGGTTGGGCATGCAGATGCCCACCCCAATGCAAAAAAGCCCACCCCTCGGGCTCCCTTATTCCAGCTACACAATCCCCCGCCCACACGCCATCTGCTCCATGAGCAGCCACTGGTTGCCATATTATTCAAACTCACAAATGAATCCGAGTTGCATGTCATCAGCGCATTGTACATAAGACCAAAATGACCACAGCCCACCAAAAGGCCAAACCATCATCTGGCGTTGTCTCCTCAGAGATACAGATAAAGTACACAAATTCCTGCTGCAGGCCATATAACTTCACACACCGCCTTGGGATAACATGACACACGCCAGCTACAACAGGTGTCAAAACTGAATACAATACTCGTGTTCCCAGAGCCACTCTGACAACAGTGCAGCAAGCAGCTTCTCTCAAACAAGGGTTCTACCCGGACCAGAACAAAGCATCTCCCAACACTCTCAGGAGGCCATTTCCCAACTCGCACATTCCATCATCTCTGGAGAAGACTTGGTAGACAAATTACAACACACAGCCCACGGTTACAACCGCAGGTCGTGCAGACAGTCGTGGCAGAATCGCTGAAGATGCCACCATGGACAGTTAACACACCAGTACCACAAGGAGCGAAAGAATACCCAGAGCTCGCACAGCTCACAGATACAAATGGAATCCCGGCTGCAGATCTGATCTGCGCTTCCCAGTGCCGCATGAAAACAGGCTTCTCCCAGCCCAATACCTGTGGCTTGGTTGTGCTAGAAGGGGGATGGCCCCTCCAAACCCTATCTTTACCTAAAAGGACAAATCCCCAGAATCTCTCACACAACCCTGGACCCACCAGGCAGTCGTCAAGACACGCACCTGTCCCTCTTGCGTAGGTCCCCACAGAGGAAATTTTAGCTTTGCTTGCAACGCACAAGAGACCAGCACTCCCAACCTGCAACCCAGCCTGCGCTCACTCATTGACGTTCACACATTCCAGCCCTGGGGCTGCGGTTTAGCCCCAAGAGGCCGCAACTCAGTCAGGGGCAGCCCCCAACCGCCTCCGAGTCACTGTCCATCAGCAAGCTCATCGACTGCAGGACTTCCCAACCCCCATCTGGCACGCTGTCCTCAACGTCCAGCTTGGAACGCTCCAGGATGAACTTCCCCTCCTTGTACTTCTGCGCCGTGTCAGTGGCCTCCTCCTGCAAAGGCACCCAGCAAGCAGTCCGTCAGGCGCAGCCAATCGGTGCCCGGCTCCAGGCGGGGGACCCTGGCCGCCCTTTACAGGACCTTTAGGCCTTTCTCAACATTCCAGCAAACTCAGAACCCCATCACCCCTATCCCGAGCACCAGGAGCAGGTCCCGGAGGCTGCCTGTCCGACACCATCAACAGTGCGTGGCAACGCCCAGTACATGCTCCAGCGCAAGCCACAGGGACACGTTTAGCCAGGGCAGTCCGGCAGCCACCCTTGCGCCGATGTGGCCGTTCCCACAGCCCCTCACAGGGGTCTCTTTCCACACACGCGCCCCCAACCCCTTTCCAGGAAGGGGAAAATTCAAACACAAGGGCAAAGGCACGACGGCTGAAAATATCCACACCGCAAGCGACAGGCGCGCACTCACGTATTTCCAGCCCACGGGGTGGCAGCAGCCAATGCAGAAGATGTCCCGCACGAGGTGCAGGCCGGTCGTCATCATCCGGGTCTCCAGCGGGCCCGCGCTCACGTTGACGACGCTGTTGAAGAGGTAGGCCTTGCCGTTCTTGGAGTGGAAGTGCTGCGAGAACACGTGGCGCCGGGGATGTTTCATACGACTCGGCGGGCGGGCCGGCACTCGGGGAACTATCCAGGCGATCGGGGGCCAAGGAAAGCGCCAGTCGGGCGGCGCGCGAGCTTTCTAAGAAATTTGGCAAAGGGAGAGGCGAAGGAAAATTGCAAAGGGGTCGGGATGGGCGTCTCGAACCCGTACAGCCACAGCCAACCACGAGGTGGCATCCACACCAACAGGGCCCACGGGGAGACCCAATTCCAGAAGAATAAGGCGCGAATAGCCCCCGCAGCCTGCCAAGCGAGGATCGTTGCCTCGAGGCGGGAAAGCCGGACAGCACGCGAGGCGGGAGGGGCGACGAGCGGTTGAGCGCAGGCCGGAAATCATGCGCGAAGAACCCTAGAGGCCGGATGGCGCCCAATGCTTAAGCAACACCATCGTTTACCATTATTTCTTCATCCGCGCAAGCCCCGGACTCGTCACCGGAACAGAACACCCCTTCCGCGCGCCCTCGACGACAAAGTCGGCCGGCCCACCGCCCGGCGCAAGGGCCAGGGGCGGGCATCGCACCTAATGGCGGGCCCCCACCTTAGACACGATCTCCTCTACGTTGGCGAGGTGGCAGCCGCAGCATCGGCACGTGTACGCGCGCCCCTCCACGTACTCCACGTAAACCCGACCCATCTGCCAGGATGTCTCCGCTCACTCGCCCTGCCACGCCGTTCCCGCGCGCCGATCAGCCTTGCTCGCCGCGCTCCAGGCCCCAGCCGAGGCCCCCTCGCCGAATCCAGCAATCCGATCGCAACGCCCTGGCTCACGAAAACTTGGCCGCGGTCCGCTTTTGAGGCCACCGCTCCTGTGCTCGGTGCTCCTCCGCGCGCCACGCGCTGGGCAGTGTGGTGGCTCAGGGGCGGTGGGGAAGGATTGTAATCGTCGCGGCTCCCTGGGCTTTATGGGGCCACAATAGTGAAGTGACTTCACACGTCAGGCGGGGCTGACGCCAGGGCCCACCCCAAACCCCGGGCCCCCATTGGCCAATCTTCGCTGACGGGGACGGGGCCCGGATTTGTCGGAGGCCGGCGTGGCAGTACTTAAGGGCCAGGAGGGCAGGGCGTCCGCCCGGGGTATCTGGGGCGGATGCCATGTCTCACCGGGATCAATGAGTCACGCGTTCGTGACACCTACCCGTCCCGGACAGGACCAGGCGCTGATCTCCGCGAAAGGGGCTGCTGTGCGGGCAAATGGCCACGTCCTCAGGCGCCCACCGTGATGCGTCACTTACTAATCGCTGGGTGCCCGGCTTGCGGACAAAAAGGTCACTCGCTGGGCGAAATGGCCCTGGCTGTGGTAGATGAATGAAAGTTATGTATTTGTGCAGAGAAGGCTTAAAAATGGAACGTTTGGGCCTCAGGGATCCAAAGGATGCCTCTAGGAGCCTCAAGATTGCGAAACACCCACAGCCCCAGGCAAGGTTGGCACTGCGCCTTGGGTTTGCACGGCCATTTGGTACGTTGCATTCTTTTGCAGCCCGAAGTTACGATTACAAGAAAATCTCAAAGGACCACTCGTGCGTACCCAGGACAACACGGGCCGCTGGATTTCTGTCCCAGCCCTTGAGGGTTCTTGTCACTAAGTAGGAAAAGGATGAGAGCTGTGCTTCAGTTTCTTCCACACTGGCCTCTCTCAAGCATAAGAAAGGGTGGCACTGTATGCATGGTGATTTTGTTCCCTAGTCGCGAACCAAAGTCGCCAGATCCCCAGGCACTGACAGAGGGCAGAGTGCAAGACGCCATCCTGGAATAATGCTGAGCAGCCATACTACTGTGTGCACTGCCCGAGTACAGTGGCAGCTAAGCCCTGGTCACTCCGTCCCAGGGTGCATGGTCCTGTCCCACAAGTGAAACGCCAGCAAAACACCTTAACAACTTGGTGCTCTGGCCCCATGGGATCGTCTCCACTTCCATGCTGTCCGGCTGAGCAAATGCCACAGCATTCCTGACATGAAGTGGCCAAAATGAGAGTCACAAGACGACTCCAGACGCCACCCACTGGGCGAACAGTGAAAAAGCCCACCTCCCACGCTCCTGGAGGTCAGCAAATCTCTATGCAGCAAGTTCTGAGGCACAGATGCGCAGTTGGTGAGCCATGAAGGCATGCATGCTTTTCTGGCAGCCCTTGAGCTTCCTTGAGGTGACAGCAAGGGCGTCAGTCTCAATTGCCAGCACCCCCAACGAATCTCAGGTAATTCAGGTGAACAAGGATGTGGGGAAGCATCTCAAGTGTACTCTGTTGCTCCAGTTACAATGATTGTTGTTAGTACAGATATAAAATGAAGCCTTTTCAAACTGCAATGCCACATTCCACAACAGCGGCGTTGGGCATTGAGACGTCGATGGATCCATTCCGAAGTATCTAAAAATGTTACTGCTGCATGAACCTCTATGCCTGGCAATCTTCAACAGTGTCCAGGAACCCAGTCAGCAAGTCATGAGCTTCAGTCGATCTTCCTATCACCTATCCATGGCTGCAGCCAATGCAGAGTGCACAAATCGCAACAAGTTGGGTACGGACGCTGTTCTAACATTCCGCAACAGAACCATTACAGATCGCCAAAACGACCACCAAAATCAATTGTTTGTACAGCCCACAGGCCAGGTGCACTGCGTTGATGAATGCGCTGCTGTATTCGCCTCATCCATCCTATCCAAAAGCTGCAGCCCGCATCCCCACAACAGCGGCAATCAGCATTCTCGTTTGTTGGGTGGGCACTGACCCTGGCCCCTGCCACATCATTTGGTAGTGTAATCTCCGCGATCATCCATCAACAAGCTGCAGAAGCAGAAACACAATCAGCAGATGTTGGGCATGCAAAGACAAAAGCAGAAACAGTGCAGGTGACAAATTGGAAGAGCCACAAAAAAGCAACAGGGGAAGCTGCTTTGGGATGCTCTAGATTGCCCATCCTTGCATCCAATGGGGGCAGTGTTTGAGACAATACAGAAAGCCAGGGCAACTGCAGCACATGTTTATGCTAGAATTCAGAGGCTAACAATGATGGGCAGAGTGTGACTCTGTTCATCGCTGTGTCTGATACACTGCCACATCAACAATGCAACAAGCGTCTTGCTTCTGCACAGCTTCACTGAATCCAAGGAACCTCAGCTGCAGGGCACCTTTTCAAGGTCTTTGTGTGAACAGCTATTCGGCTCCAAGAAAACAGACAGTTGCACAACAACAGCCAACGTATTCCAGTCAATCCAAACACACATTGCTACCAGTGCATCAGACCCACCTCCTCGAGTGCTTGACAATGGCACGGCCTATGGAATTTATCCAGTCTTCCTTCTCCTGTACAAATATCAGCTGCTGCCGTCAATACAACAATGTCACCCCCACAGGTGCACTATTTCAACATGCACCAGATGGGAAACAAACTAAAGGGCAAACAGCTGTTGCCATTTGCTAAAGCCGACTGTGTCCTGGCATCCACATCGATGGCCTCTTACTTTTGCAGTGTCGGCGATGAAGAACATCTTGTCATCGGCGGTGGTGATCTCAAAGGCATGCGGCTTGTTCAACGTGTCCTCAGCCCCTTTGATCGACAAGCAGGTGTTCACCTGGGGTGAGGAAGTGCTTACAAGACTTCAGCGATGGTTGCAGTTCACTGTTGAAGGGCAATCATGTTTGGACGTGGAACGTCAAATAAGTCATCACCAAAGAGCACAGCATCCACACCCAGACCCATATGTTTACGACACAAGATCGCCATTTCGGGCAGACTGTGTACATAACTCAGTAGTCAGTGATACCTATATGAAGTCCTACCAATTTTGCCCAAAAGGGCTTTCGAATGGGAAACAGGAACAACACCTGCAAGGGAACACCAAACTTTATGCGTTTGCCAATGGGGCACAAGAGCACCTCCCATGTGAAAGGGCAGGTCTCCGTTGTGTTCCGACAACTGCAGCCAATGCGACCTTTCACAAAAGTTCGAAACAATGACAAACATTGCACTTTCCATCTGCCAGAAACTACAAAACAGCAGCTATCCCTTCTTCCTTCCCTTTTGTGGACGACAGCCAAGTCTGTGATGTGATTATACTCACAGGAATCACGCCCCGGGGAATGCTTTCCTGGAAGCAACGCAACAACCCAAAGTTCCAGTCAGTTGAGGCCATTCCTGGGGTGCCGGGACAAGTGGAGGCTGCAAGGCGGAGCCAACATCACAACCGAGAGTGGTGGGGCACTGACCGAGTTGAGGATTTCTGATTTGAACCAGAAGATTTTCCCCTGCTTGAGCACGAACCACCTTGGCAGGCAAGAGAAAGCAATTGTCAGCATCAGCGTGCAGGGAGCGTGGCACATTCCAGACAGCTCGCAGCGGGTTCACCCCCCACCTCCGGCGCCAGTACTTGAGGTATTCGCCTGGCAAGCCAACACGGACACAGTCAATTCCGTGTAGGGCGCACACAGCGACGGCCCAACGGCCGGATACAAAGGCATATGGATGAGGCGACGTCGCCGCAGCGAAAACCGGAAAAGCACATCTCCAGCTCGGCGATTCGGCCGGGGCGGCCGCAGCAGCACGCACGGCCGCAATCAACGAGCTGCCGCCACGGACTCTTTGCGCTGTCACCTTGCTTCATCAGCCACCCGGTCCTCTCCGGGTTGGTCCAGAACTCGACCCCATAGCTGTCCTTGCTCTTGCCGAAGAGACCGGCCATGGCGACCCACAGGGCAACCCTCCCGCGGGAGACCCTGCAATGGCGCCCCTGGGCGAGGCGAGACGTGGACAAAACTGTGGGCGCAGGAGACGCACGGTGTGCTCGCCGTCGGCTGGCCGGCCAAGAACCCCCGCCTGAGCCGCGACCTTAAGCCGCAAAAGCACGCTCCAGGCCATTCGGTTTTCGGCGCTGCGGCCGGATGACCGACCATCAAAGGACCGGATGTGTCACCGTTGATGCGGCCCCCCTCTGGAATGGGTTTGTCAGGACGGGGCGGTGTTCTTGAGGCGAAGTCATTCTCGCAAATCGCGACTCAAACGGCAGGAGGTGGAAGGAGGGAAGCTGACGACCTGGACCCAGGCATCCCTGCCCAGGAAGGTCGCTGGAATTCGAAATCGACCGGAAAACCGAGCTGAAAACAGTTTGTCCAAAAAGTGCGTGGCCTTGATAAAGTTCACCACGGCCAAGGCGTGTGTATCCTTTAAGGAACAAACCCCTCATAGAAAACACAATATATCGATTTTGTGTCACAGTGCATCGCTCAGTGTCAAATTGGTGCTGGGCGCAGACCTCACTCATGTGTACATGGCCAATTTATTTTTTTAAGTGTTGCAAGTCTCACCACCAACGCCCGGTGCCAATGTTTTTTCCGATGCCGATGTGGCTCCTTTTCTATGCCCTTATGACTCAGCAACATTACCTAATAGCATGGCGCAACACTTTAGCTTTAGTAGAGGGTGTGTCGGGACATTGTGTTGTGTAAACTACAAGGGGGTACCCGGTTTACTTAAGTTACATACTGGGAAATGATAATGGATATGAGATTGTATGTAGATTGGATAGAGGAGGCTGTTAGCTTTCCATAGGTATTTGAATTATCCCAAACGGGTTAGCAGTAGTGGAGTTATACCTTAAAAAATGTTCTAGTACTTAAGGTTGGGCCCCTACCGTACTTGGGGATGAGATACTATCGATACGGTATATTCGATACGCAATTCTGTCGGTTGTGTACCGCTGCGTGTGGGGGTCATGTGACCGACCCCGTACGATAGCCTGTAATTCTATTCGTGCCCACTCTCGCCTCCCAACGGCTGCACCCTGTTCGAGTGCCGTGATGTTACAAACAGTTGACAAACACTGCCAGAAGGGTGTCTATACTTTGGAACAGCGATATGACTCACCGATCAGCCATATGCGCTCAATGGGAGTCACCAAAAACACAGCCACTATCACAACCCTGTCAATCGCCCAGGATTTCTGAACGTTCTGCTCCTGCACTTTTTCCAACTTATCTCATAGACACTCACAGGACAACGACAATCATCACAGCATGTAAATTCAAGCCCAGCAGGACACTTGGGGTGTTGTCGAGCGCTGCCGAAGCGAGGCGCAACCCCAGAGCTGAACTTCGTGTTCAAGTTCACCTTAACCGTTCACATACAACGAGAAACATACAACTGCTGATCAGCTCGACGAGAGGCATGAAAATACACGCTCAAACTGGGAAACAACGCTCCACACCTCGCTCAGTAGCTCAGTATGACGAGCGTACTGACCATTCTCCAGATGTCGCAAACCGATGTCGTCGATGCTCATTCCCTGCGGTCCAGCGCTGCGCTCCGCTCACTCGCCAAGCAACGGATGATGAAGACACGTCGTTCAGTCAACGAAGTCAGCGCCCAACGTGAGCGCACGCGGGTCAGTTGGTCAACGAAACGGGAAACAAGCTCGTCGACGAGCTATGGGTATGTGCAGCGGTGCACAACCCCAAGGACAATTGACCCGGAGGGTCAGGAGGCGAAGGCACATGGAAACGAAAGTGCTCGTTACAAAACCGCTCCCCTTCGACCACGTTCGAACCCCACACGCTCACAGCACGACAGTTCGCAACCAAACACCCGCCGTTCAGACCGCTAGAATCAAGAACTGACGGGTTGGGGTTGGAGAGAGAGGGGGGGAGGCACTCACAACCCAACCTCCGCCACCTAAATACCCCTAAAAGCTCCAACAGCACTACACTTCAGCAGCCCTCGGATAAGCAAACAGACACATCAAGAAAAAGGCCACAATACTCCTTGTACCTCTCAGAACTTCCCATTGACCTTCTCCACGTTGACCCTTTCTAAAGGGTCACACAATACAATCAAAAAAGTCACTTTTGAACACTACAACACTACTCAACACCCATCAGCGCCCCTTGGCAGTACTCCCATGAAGATGTACTGTTGTACATCTTCTTCCCACTCACGCTGCGAGGTACTAATCTCTGTAGGTTCCTGAAAAATCAAATTAGGGGGAATCCCCCTATCCAAACAAAAAATACACCTAATGCACTTTTCATCCCAAGTACATCCATCACACCCCACAGTTCCGTAGTGGGTAGTGTCTCCCGGCTGCCTAACCCATTCCACCTCATTCTCCCCCATGTACGACATACGGGCCCTTAACTGTACCCCTTGCATCATCCCGTTTCCTTCCGGGCCTGGCAGCTCCACCTCCCACTCAGTCATTACGTAACACTTCCATCTCGACGCGCGCTCCACCATTCCCACCGGCAGATCCATCCCCCTCGGCGAGGCCGCCCACGCACCCCTCCCCGACCCACGCGAATGGCGCGGGCGGGCTGTCGGGGCCGTCGCGCTCGGCGGCCATCCAAGCATCTCTCTCGGAGATACTCCAAACGCCCTCGCCGCGCCAATTCGCGGCAAAGACACTCCGCTGAAGTCGATCGCCCAACCGGACGTTGGGGATCGCCGTGACCCAATAGGCTTGGATGGCAAATAGCTGGTCGTTCAGGCGCCTAACTCGCCACCGAGTCGTGGCATCAAAAGCGGAATGGAGCCACAAGTGGGGCGTTCCGGGGCCGGAGGCCATGGCCCATGCCTCCGCCCCACCGAGCCCATTGCAGCACGCGAGCACAACTTTGCCCGCTCCGTCCGGGCCGACCAAAGGCTCGCCGGGCCCCTTCGTCCTTGCGTACACGGGTCCACAAATATCCCCAGAGGGAGAGAAAGTACCACTCCGCCATGGAGCATGGCGGAACCGGAGGGTCCGCCCACACCGAATGCGAGCATGTTCGACCCGCCTGCGGAACGTGGGGATGCTTCGGCCATGGCGAGGGAGGGCTTCCGACGGTCCCTGCACGGTTGGGGAGGCTGGGGTGTTGCGGCGCGCCAAGCAAACTGGGCACAGTGGGCATAGGCAGGGCGCAGGCACAACCCGCGCGGACCAGATGCAGGGGGGCGCGGTCACGTCCGACATACAGTACATTACACGAAATATCAAAAGGGCGGTCTCCCGTACGGGTGCAAAACCACAAAGTACTGTTAGCAGCCGCACCCAACGTCCCATCACGCCTCACTAGACCCCTATACCCTGCCAGCACCTGTCCCGTCAAGGCCCTAGGACCTTTTGCAATAGTTCAGGTCCATCCAAAGACACCCCCTACGGTTCATGGTCTCCTCAAAAGGGGTCAGAAATTGACCGTTTTTCCCTACGAAAGTCACTCAAAAGGCCCTTACAAACCAGCCAGCCTCTCACTCAGGGTCCCTCACCACATGCCCTACACACACCGAGCCTCTTTGTCCCCAGCTAATAGTACTGGAAAATCTACCATAATCGCATACTAAACCCAATTCCGTACACCCAAATTCCATCACCGTCAAACTGTATTGTATCCCGTCAGCATGCGGATCCAGCTAATTGTTTTTCGTCCTTTTCCTTGACCAGTTCACAGCCCAGTCACAGCCGTCCGTGCTGCCCATGGAGCGCTCTTCAATTGACGTCATTGTTGCTCATTCTGGACGGTTCTGATGAGCGACATTGCAAAACAGCGAGATGGAGGATATCTCAGCTGTAAATGCATCGATTCGTGTGCACTGGAGAGAAGCTGAGCGTGCACACGTTTGCCTTGAGCATTCAGCAGCTGCAGGACCGCTAAATGTAACCATATGTCATGTGGTTCAAGGTGATTTCTGCTGAGCACATTGACCTTTCTTTTCTCTACGGTTTTCTCTCGATTACAGTGGTGGCCATATACTTGAGCAGATTAGACTATAATCGAACTACCCGCAGGCCGCAAAGCGCCGCGCGCACCCACAACGCGTACGGTAGACGTGGCCGCTCAACTTTTTTTCTGTTAATTTACTTCTGTAACTTTTTTGAACACAAAAAATCTGTCCGTCGATTTTCTCTAACTTTGCCGGGGCCCGGTTTCTGTAGCCGTTCATGCCACATCAACTTTCAATTTTTTGGCTCTGGAGGTGTCCGTCAAGGGGGTGTTTGCAACCACCGGTTTTTTTCAAAGGGCTTTTTTTCCGTTGCTTTTCCTAGCATTCCATTGCCATCCGTCAGGGATTTTGAGATTCCGGTAGTGTTCCATTGGTCAGTGGCGGTTTCTGTTGGAGGCAATTTTTTCAAGCGGATTTTTTCTGTATGTCCAGCAACCTTTGCCTCTAGATACAGGCTACAACACTGACATAACGAGTTCCAATATTTCAACATGTTTAAACAACGCATGTCTATCTACTTACAGTCTATGCCATTATAAATAAATATGCATGAATAAATAAATATACATAAATGCCGCCTCGGCCGGTACTCCTTGCCAGACAGGGGATGCAACCCATTGTTCTTTCCCGGCCATCCCTTGCAAACGCTAGACTACATATACAAATGCACCCTGGGCTACACGGCAATCCCCCGCTGCATTTTCTTGGCCAACCCACGGCCGGTACTCGCTACGGTAATGAATGGCTAGTAATCCTTTGCCAAATGCACATGTTCACTCGCAACAACTATAACAAAATTCGTTATGGTTTATCAGCTGATGCCTTGGATTTTGGTATGGTCCTCAATGACGTCTTTGACTTCCTGCATTGAGTTGGACGCCTCCGTATCCTGGTGCATGCTCCCATGCTCCTTCTATGCTTCTTTTTTCTTGCGCGGCGGTCTTCCCACCCTTGGCGCTGTATGTACCATCCTACCAATGACCCCCTGCA